ATATGTGAAAAACTATAAAATATCAATTTTAAAAACCAAAGAAAATCTCATTAACTGCTTTAGATATACAGAATTATTGCAAAGATAATACAGAAAGTTTCTATATTCACTACAATCAGTTTCCCTATTATTTAGAAATAGAACATGTGAAAACAATAACAAAAAATGAAAGGAAGTTGCATGGAATTATATTTTTATAAATTTTGCGTGTTATATATTTAGTATATAACATTGTTAATTCAAGGTAGACTGTGATAAATTAAGAATGCATTAAGACAGACTAACCCACAAAAGGCATACCTAAAAAGCCAACAGGAAAGAGCCTGGAATGTTAAAAAAAAAAAAAGCAAAACTCAATAACCCAAAAGAGAGACATAAGAGTGGGACAAAGGATTAAAGAACTGATGGGACTAACAGAAAACAAATATCAACATTGGTAACTTAAAATAAACAAATCAATAATTAATAAACTCTCCAGTTAAACAACAGAAGGCCAGGCAAGGTGGCTCATGCCTGTAATCCCAGCACTTTGGGAGACCAATGTAAAAGGATTGCCTGAGTCCAGGAATGTGAGACCAGCCTGGGCAACATGGCAAGATCTCATCTCTACAATAAATAAATAAATAAATATCAGAGCACTGTGGCATGCACCTATAGTCTCAGCCACTTGGAAGGCTGAAGCAGAAAGATCATCTAAGCCCAGCAGGTCAAGGTTGTGGTAACCTTGATCGTGTCACTGCATTCCAGCCTGGGTGACAGAGTGAGACTCAAGCTCAAAAAAAAAATCATCAGATTAAATTTAAAAACCAAGACCATATAACCACTGGCACCCACACATAGTAGACTTCAAGACAAAGTATTACCAGAGATAAAGACACTTAATAATTACAAAAGGACAATTTCATCAAGAAAACATAACAATACTATATATATATTCGCCTAATTAGTTTTAAAATACATGAAACAAAAACTAAAATACCCCAATGTAAAAATAGGCAAATTCATAATTATAATTGGAAATTTTAACATAATTTCCTTGTTAATTGAGAGAAACGGCACACATAAAATCAGTCAGCATACAGAAAATTTCAACCATCTCAACCTAATTAATAATTTGTGTAATGCTACATCCAACAACTGAAATATAAAGTCTTTTCTTGTGCATATAAATTATTCACCAAAAATAGACCATGGGCCAGAACATAATATATCAATAAAAATTTTAAACCTGATATCAGAGTACAAATAAGAGTAGAAATCACAATAGTCATAATCATAATACATATGAAATTTCCCCAGTTACTAGAAATTAAGCAATATATTCCTAATCAATCATATGTCAAAGAAAAAAATCACATCTTAAATTTAATTTAACTTTAAAATATTTTGAACGGAACAAAACAAAACTACAACATAACAAGATTGGTGGGATGTAACTAAAGTACTGATTAAGCAGAGAAATGTACAGCTTAAATGTTTACATAAACAAAGAAGAGAGGTTTAAAATCAGTTATCTAGTCTTCTGTTATGAAAAACTATGAAAAGAAGAGAAAATTAAATCCAAAGTAAGCAGAAAAAGGAGACAAATAAACAGAAAACCAAATAGAGAAAAATACAAAGCCAAATCTTGGTTCTTTAAAAAGATTAACTGAGAAAGACTAAGAAGAAACAAAGAACACACAAATTACCTAAATCAGGAATGAAAAAGAGGCTATCACTACAAATTCTGCAGATGTGAAAAGAATAATAATACTACAAGCAACTTTATGACAATAAATTCAACAATTTAGAAACTACCAAAACTAGCACAAACTAGCAAACTACCAAAACTAGCACAAAAAGAAAATCGGAATTTCCTTATGTTAATAGAAAAATTATATTCATAAAAACCTTCCCACAAATAAAACTCAAGAACAAGACTGTTCCACTACTGAATTCTAACAGACATTCAAGAAAAAAAATAATCAAATCACACATAATTATTTTTTAAAACAGATGAGAGGGCCCAACATGATGGCTCATACCTACAATCCCAGCACTTTGGGAGCCCAAGGCAAAAGGATTGCCGGAGCCTAGAAGTTCGAGACCAGCCTGGACAATCTGGCAAGACCTCATCTCTACAATAAATTTTTTAAAAATCAGCCAAAACTGGACACAGTGGCTCATGCCTGTAATCCCAGCACTTTGATAGGCAGAGGCATGAGGACTGCCTGAACCCAGGGGTTCGAGACCGCCTAGGCAACTTGGCAAGACTTGGTCTCTACAATAAATCAAAAAATTAGCCAGGCATGGTGGCACGTACCTACTTGGAAGGCTGAGGCAGAAGGATCACCTGAGCCCAGCGGGCCAAGGCTGAGGTAGTCATGAGCGTGCCATTGCACTTCAGCCTGGAAGACAGAATGAGATTCTAATTCCAAAAAAAAAAAAAAAAAAAATTAGCCAGGCTTCATGGCACATACCCGTAGTCCCAGTTAATGGGAGGCCAAGACAGAAGGATAGTCTGCGCCCAGCAGGACAAGGCTGTAACAGCCATGATTGTGTCACTGCACTCCAGCCTGGGTGACAGAATGAGACTTTAATTCAAAAAATAAAAGATAAATAAATAAAAGAAAACAGATGAGAAATGGAAAATGACCAAATTGTGTCATAAGGACAGCATAAACCTGACACAAAAACCTTTTATGAGCATTACAATAAAGGAAAATCACCAACCCAAATCCCTAATAAACCAAGAAACCAAAATTTTTCTTCCACAAAATACTGGCAAATCACATCCAGCAATATAAAAAAAAATACTATATTGTGATCAAGTAGGTTTTATACTAGAAATGCAAGGGTTTTTTTGGAAGGCTGAGGCAAAAAGATTGCCTAAGCCCAGCAGGTCAAGGCTACAGTAGCCATGAGTGTGCAGCTGCACTCTAGCCTGGGTGAGAAGAGTAAGACTCCAACTCAAAACAAACAAACAAACAAACAAAAAATGCAAGCGTTTTTAACACTCAAAAATCAACATAATATACTCTATTAAAAGAACTGAAGATAGAATCTACATAATCACATCAGTAGATGCAGACAAAGCATTTCACAAAATTCAACAAATACCTATCCATAATCAAAATTCTCAGCACTTTAGAAACTGGATAAATGACATTACAAAATAAAGATCTGAAGATCTACTGTACAGAATGGTGACTATAGTTAATAATAATGTATTGTGCACTTGAAAACTGCCATGAAGGTATATTCTAAATGTTCTCACTGCAAAAACAAAAACAAACCCAGCAAAAATTACAACTATTGTTATAAATGTGTTCAATATAGTTGCTGCCTTGGCATCCATTTTAGACTTGACAATAGTAGTTTGTAACCAGTCAGGTCCTGTCACCTTCAGCGTAGATGACATGTGGTTGTTTGCCCTAGAGCCTACTTGGTCATCACTAACCCAAGACCCAACACATTCCACAGTGGGACCACAATAAAACTCAATGGCCACCCAGAGTCAAATGAATAAATTCCTCCTTCACACTGTGTTCTTTAAACTAGCCAATGCAAAACCCACAAAGGAAGCCTAAGGGATAATATCCATGAATCTTAATAAAAACATAGTCCCACAATTCTCTTCCTCTCCCATTCCCTCAACACTTGATGGTTAAGTGCCCTGCTGATTCCAAACTTCCCATTAACCTCACATCGGCACCCCAACCTCTCTGGGACCTGTGAATGATAAATCTCCTTTGTTTCATACGTTTTGGTTTTATTTTCTCATTGTGTCTCATCTGACACAACCATACCACAGTGTTCCTCTCAACAGTATTTAACATCTTTAACAAATCATAACAACTTTGTGAGGTGATAGATAGGTTAATCAGACTGATTGTGGTAACCATTTCACAATGTGTACATATATCAAAACCCCACATTGTACACAGTAAATATATGCAATTTTTATGTGTCAATTATATTTCAGTAAGGCTGTGGGGGTAAACATATAGTCATATCATACTTAACAATGTCCCAAAGATTGGGATCATGGTAAAGATGTTGGCTTTCACCACTTCTAATAAACACTGTACTACTGTACTAAAGGTACCAGTTATTGCAATAGGCAAGAAAAAATAAATTTAAAGTCCAGGTATGGTGGCCCAAGTCTGTAATCCCAGCACTTTGGGAGGCTGAGACGAGAGGATTGCCTTAGCCCAGGAGTTCGAGACCAGCCTGGGCAACAGGGTGAGATCTCGTGTCTACAATAAAATAAAAAAAATTAGCCAGTGCGTGCCTATAGTCCCAACTACTCAGGAGGTTGAAGCAGAAGGATTGCCTGAGCTCAGCAGGTTGGGGCTGAGGTGGCCATGAGCATGTCACTGCACTCCAGTTTGGGTGACAGAGTGAGACTCTGACTCAAAAAAAAAAATTAATTAAAAATACATAAATAAATAAATTTAAAGATCAGAAAAGAAGTATAAATAATCCTATTCAAAGATGATAATGCTGCTCTCATAGAAAGTTCCAGAGAATCTACAAAACAATTTTTACAACTAACAGATAAATTTAGAAAGTCATTGGATATAGGGCTAATTTACAAAAACCAACTGTTTTCGGATATACTAGAGGCAAATATTTACATAGGACACTAAAAGCAGTATGTCTCTAACCAAAGTTCAAACTAATGATTCAATGGCCAGATTAACAACTATCTTGAAGTACTTTTATCACAAATGAAATAAACACCAAGTATACATGTCTTATAGGGTCAATACATATTACTATAGAATTCAGATAGCACTATCATTCCTTTGTTTATACCATTTGAGGATTTTTGCTTTTGTTTTGTTTTGTCTTGTCTTATGTGATTTTTGTTGGGGATATGGGGTGGCAAAACTTGAATTGTTTGACCACTTCCGAGTTCTACTCTTTAGATCATGTTCTAGTAAGTTGAAGGAAACCATTTTTAAAGATCTGTGTAAAAAAAGAATTATTTTAAGTTGCCCTAAAAGTTAATTTACCTTTCTTCACTGAAGCGACGACCAATCTTTACTTTACACTTGTCCTGGGGAAGGCATGCTGCTAGTAGAGGAACTGTCCGCAACACTTTGTTTTCCTTTAATTAACAAATTAATTAAAACATATTTTTTACTTAAGTAAACACACTTTTAAATATTTTATGATTAACATCTGAATCACAACTTTAAATATAACTTTCACAAGTCTTTCACTAAAGACCACAGTTTAATTAAGCTAAGTTTCTCTGACTTATAAATATTAACAAAGTGTACCTTTTTATTCTGTTTGGGTAGGTTTACAGGTTTACTGATCAAATAAGATGATATTAGGCTGGACGTAGTGGCTCAAACCCATAATCCCAGCACTTTGGGAGGCCAAAGCAGGAGGATTGCTTGAGTCCCAGAGTTTGAGACCAGCCTGGACAACACAGTGAGACCTTGTCTCTACAAAATATTCAAAAATGAGCCGGGCATGGTAGCTAGTACCTACAGTCCCAGCTACTCAAGAGGGTGAGGCTGAAGGATCACCTGGGCCTAGGAGGTCAAGGCTGCAGTGAGTCATGATTGTGCTACTGCACTCCAGCATGGGAAACAAAGTAAGACTCTAATTAAGAAAAAAATAAAAATTAAAGAAATAATAATATTATTCTAAATATATGTATAACTAAATGGAAACGTTTGTTCTGATAAGTTGTTTATTTCAAGAGTATTTTTATTTTTACTATGCCAGCTTGAAGACAATTGCCTAGATCTTTATGCCCAGAAAGCAAGGAAGTCATCAAAAGACAAAACAATGGGGCATATCGAAGGAACACAGATGCCAATCTTAATAAATCCCCAATGGCTAAAATGGAACAATTTGAGCAACAAAAGATATACTAAGTATTGGGCTATAACCCAAAGTATAAATTAGAGTCCAGAATGATATAAATAAATGATTGAATAAATAAATGGGGGAGATGAAACAAATCTTCCTTACAAAAGAATTCCAAGTAATAAGTGTAAATATTCCCCTTTTCAGAAGGTGGCGTTTAATCTCTCCCTCCCATGTGAATGTGGGCTAGGTTTATGGCCTTGTTTCCAAAGAATATAGAGTATGGAAAAAGAACAAAACTAAAAACTTTAGAGTGGCTAAATCTTATGATCATTTCTGCAAATGTTATTAGCCTATTATCAGTGGTTTTTTCAATGTCCTAACTTCCAACACTGGAATCCATCTTTCTTGTTTCCACAAGAATTCTATTCTTATTCTTATAGAGCCAGGTTAGGTTTTAGGACATTTTCTGGTGTTTCATATAATATTCTTCCCTCTTTACCATCACCATGAGACTTTGACACAGACTTAGTCATTTGCCAAACTTATTACCAGAGTATTACAAAGATATATTTCACATCAAACGGTGTCAAAAGATTTAAAATGACACTGCCGTTCCCCGATGTACTCCCCAGTATCACTTACCAGAGGCAATCGCTTTAACTCATTTAGTATTTCTTCTAGTAATATCTCCATATTTCTGTATTTCATACTTCTATGTGTATTTTGTTATTTCTTGATATCAACTTTAGATATTATCTAAAAACTACTAATTATCATCTTCATAAGAATATTAATGTATACAATTCTAAGTGCTATATATACACACACACATAAAGAGAGAAAGAAGGAAAAACTAATTTACTTTTCATAAAAACCAGTAAAGAAATCTATCTTTTGTCATGTCCATTTTACTAATGAAGAAACCAAACTACAGAGAGGTTGATTAACTTGCCCAGGATTAGAGGTTACAGAGTTATAAAGGATGTGAACTCAAGAAATCTGGCTCCAGAGCCCTTAACTATTGCACTTTAAACTACAACCTTTCATAGCAAATGAAAATTTTGCCAATATCTCTCCTTACCCTCACACCTTCTAATAGTTTTAGTTAAGTCAATAAAAAGTGTTTGTATCACTATAGCTGAATTCATATTGTTCACAAAGGCCAAGTAGTTTAATATAACGTTTCTTCCTTATAAAGATTTTCATTATTTTGGGGTTGTTTTATCCTCAAGTAATTTTCTACATACATATACCAGGTACTCTGAAATGCTCCATCATATATAGCCTTGGTGTCACCTATTCTACTTTGGGAAAAGTCTTCTCTTCCCAAAGCCCCCTCCTAAATCCTATCGGTCTTTAATCACTTTTTTCTGGGAGAGTTATCAAATTAGCACATATCCTTTCATTGAAAACAGTATGTAGAGGCTGCCCAGTATTACTGAGTAAAATCAAGATTGTAAAGTTCCTCTGCTGATAAGAAAAAACTAGCTGTACTTGTCTATGCATAAAATATATTTGTAGCACACACAATTATGGATGGATCACCTAAACTGTAGATTAATCATGGTAAAAAAATAAATAAAAAAAAAGAGATTTGAAAACATTAAAACTGGCAAAAATCAACAAAACACTCACATTTTAAAAACGATCTTATATCTGGAACCAAAAAACAATGAAAAGGCATCCTACTATGTACAATGTAAAATGAAAACAACGCCCACCATCAAGTCAGTTTTTAACCAAAACTGTTGTGGCCAGCAAGCTACCATTTTATGTAAATTTGAGCTGTATAGTGTTTTATGCTTAACTGCAGTAAAATAATATCAGTGACCAAACTGTTAAAATCCTGACAAAAGCATGTTGCTGTTAAGATTGAAAAAATGTTGTCCAACAAGTGGAACAGCTAACAATTTACAATAAAAGAATAAGTGTTTCATCATTTGAAAAGGAAAAAGAGGATAATTTCTTTCATATCTTTGTTAAAGTCTTAAGTGGTATATGCTTTAGAAATTTTAAAAATAATTATTCCTCCCTCAAAAGACTAATTGGATCTATGATGTCCTGAGTTCCTAAATACTGAGAGTTTTAACTTAATGTATACTAAATCTATTTTATACCATGCTTTGACTAGTTTCGTTCATTATAATTTATGGTTTTCTATGACCACCTTCCTCCACTCTTCATTATGCAGCTGATCAAAGTTACAAGCACCCATATACCCTGGCATACATACATAATTTTAACCAGTACAAAGGAGAATTTTAAAATCTTTATATATATATATCTATGCATTATAAAATGTAAATGTTTCTTCCATTCATCTAAAATAAACCAAAATGTATTTATACAGTCACTTTGTAAGACTAAAACAACAAAGTTACTTCCACTTTAGCAAGAAAAGACATCAAGGAACACAAGCTATGATCAAAATTTAAAAAGCAATGATTTTCTTAGCTTTCTACTAACAAAATCTCATCTTTTCTTCATACAAAATTGTTAGAGTTTTAAATTTCTATACTATTCAGTAACACAGTTTTTATGAAATGTTATCTGCCTCCAAAGATGACTCTGCACGATATATAAAGAAAACTAGTTTTTTCAAAAATGAAAGCATTTATCATCAATTTCTTTTCAGAAATGCTAAAGAGCTGAGAAGGATGAGTAAGTTTATCTGTGTGTTCCCTCTTGTGCACTCATTTTCTATTTGAAATTGTATATTTTACAAAATCTTACCTCTGCTGGATGTTGAATTATGTACAAATGAGTAGAGATATGCAGAGGATGTACTGGTAGAAATGGACACAAACATACTTTCTCAGGCCGGCTGATGGGTAAAAAGAAATGGAAAGTTTGTAAATTTTTTAAAGTCAGTGATATAACAACTTATCAGAACTTGAACATAACCTTACTGCGTTTATATTAAGAGATTTGCTAAAAGCCGAATTATTTGCAAAATGAAACACCAAGAATGAACTGAATCAATCAGATTTTAGACATGAGAATTTGGGAAAAGATTCAAGTAAATTATTTACCATCTATATAGATTAAAGTACTTCAAAAAAATGTTATCCTAGTTATCTTTAGTGGAAGAATACTTATAAGTCACCATGGTCCTTTTATTCGAAAGCAACTTCTTTGTAGAATGATTTGAGTTCCTCCGGGTATATATCACAGAAACAAAGAACAGAGTACCATATGTGCTCACTTATAAGCGGATCTTGAACAATTATAATACTATAAGAAAGGGACTGGCAGTAGTGGGAAACTGTCAGGGGAGGAGGGTGGGATTGGCAGTTGAGGGAAACTGCTAGGGGAGGGGACATACCTCATCAACAAGGGTACCTACATAATCAACGATTTTATACCTAACCCTGAACTGTACCCCACATCTTTATAATAAAAAAAGAAAAAAAGAAAGCAACACTTCTATAATTTGCATGTCAACTCAAGAGCAGATCTTCTGTCAGAGAGAAACCTGGCAACTTTTCTATATGACCTGAAGTTAGAGAAAACAATAGGATAATGAAATATTAGGATATAATTATCACCTAGAGGAAATTTTAATCAAACTTAGCCATCAGTCAATACAGAGAGTTCACCAATTGTGAGAAGAAACGCAAATAGAACCTACCAAATTATATTTGGCCTGAATTATACATAAAGAATATCTGCCAGCCAGGCTCAGTGGCTCAGCCTGTAATCCCGCACCTTTGGGAGGCTGAGGTGAGTGGACTGCCTGAGCCCGCAGGTTCAAGACCCGCCTGGGCAGGCAAGACCTCATCTCTACAATAAAAATCAAAAAATTATTAGCCAGGCATGGTAGCGCGTGCCTGTAATTCCGGCTACTCGGAAGGCTGAGTCAGAAGGATGGCCGGAACCCAGCAGGTAGAGACTGCGGTGGCCAGGAGCGGCCACGGCACTCCAGTCTGGGTGACAGAGTGAGACTCCAACTCAAAAAAAAAAAAGAATATCTGCCTCATTCACTTATTTTCCCTTTTGTTATTTTGACTTTGCTGTTTTTATTTTACTTCCTTTTTAGCGTTTTACTATTGTTTAGGTAACTCTTACACATGGTACAAAATTCAGATAGAATAAAAAGGGATAAACTCCTACCTTAGTCCTCCCTTCCCTAGGAGCAGCCAATGACAGTTTCTTTGTATCCTTTCCAATGGTATTGTATAACTAAACACATATTTTATCATTATGTCTTATATTTGATATGTGTATTTATAACATGAAATTCATCAAGTGGCCAGATCCAGATATCATGGAAATTTTCACAACAGATCACTACTACAGGCAGATGTTACATGCCCTTACAATAGTATACAAGTGAATGTTTTATTAAAGGGAATTCCCAATAACGTAAATACTACAAAACTGGCCACTGTCAACTCTTTCCTCTATTTACTTATGTAAAGTTACAGACTGAGGTAAGAAATGCAATAAACCATACAGGCTGGGTGCAGTGACTCACACCTGCAATCCCAGCACTTTGGAAGGCCTAGGCAGGAGGATTGCTTAAGCCCAGGAGTTTGAGACCAGCCTAGGTGACATAGTGAGATCTCATCTCTACAATAAATAAATAAATAAATAAATAAGCTAATTGTGATGGTGTGCACCTGTAGTCCCAACTACTTAGAAGGCTGAAGTGGAAGGATCACCGGAGACCAGGAAATAGAGGCTGTGGTGAGCTGTGATCATGCTACTACATTCCAGCCTGGGCAACAGAGTGAGATTATGACTCAAATAAAATAAAATAAACCATAGAGTGTAAGTTAATTGGCTAAAATACATGTTATATCTATCTACCCACTCATTTTGCCAAACCTATGCTCCTGCTGGAGAAATTATATAGATGACATCTTAGGCAGAGGTAAGATTGTATTAGACAACATGATCTCACTCTTTCTCCCAGGGATCCCAGAGTGGAAGATTAACACAAGAAAAAACAATACATGTGATTTCCAGCACCCTGAGATGATTTGATCTGACTGTTCTGCTCCACACTGGATTTCCTCTCAGGAATGTGAGCAGATTTATAAGGATGAAAAGAGTCTTTCTATAGTCACAAGAGTAAACACAAGAGAGAGGCATACACAGACTGATGAAACTGAGTATACGGGCAAACAGAGCAAGGGCTCCTACACAGGATAAGGGACATTCAAGATCTAAAAAACTTACAATTCTGATATTTTAATATTAAGTTAATCAAGGTCAGGCAAGGTGGCTGACATCTGTAATCCCAGCATTTTGGGAAGCCAAGGCGGCAGAATTGCTTGAATCCAGGAATTTGTCCTGGTAACATATTGAGACTTCTTCTCTACAAAAAAATTAGAAGTTTAGCCAGGCATGGTGATGCACTTCTGTAGACCCAGCTAATCAGGAGGCTGAGGAGGAAGGATCACCCAAAACTAGAAAGTCGAGACTATAGTGAGCTGTGATTGTGCCACTGCACTCCAGCCTGGGTGACACAGTAAGATCTCAAACCCCCCCCCAAAAATTAAGTTAAACAAAAAAATAAACTAAAACGATCCAAAGAACAAATACATTATACAATAGAAGAATCAAATAAAAACTGATGTCTCTCTTTCATAACCAGAAAATATAAATAAAGCAGTTATATTCTAATAGTATTCTAAGCAGTCGGGTGGAGTTCAACTTCAACTTTGAATTTTTTGTAATAACTCTATTCAAATTATGACTGAAAGAAAGCTGTCAGTCCACAAACATTAGCTTTAATCTTTTACAGATAAAAGTCTTAATATAGTAACACCCTGTGCTGTCACAGTAACATTTTACCTAAAAGTTTGATTTCTAACCCTTAGTAGTTGAACAACTTATTATGCTATTTTTATAATACCTATTATCATTCATTAAATATGTTATGCAATATTTGTTACTAAAGTGAATCTACCTTCAATTCATTTGGGAGATTTTTTTTATTTTGTAGGAAATAGGCTCTCACTCTGCTGCCCAGGCGGGATTGCAGTGGCACAATCATAGCTCACTAAAACCTTGAACTTGTGGTCTTAAGCAATCCTCCCACTTCAGCTTCCCAAACAGCTAAGTCTACCACACCTGTGCCACCACACCTGGCTGATTTATTTATTTTTTATAAACATGGGGCCTCACTATGTTTTCCAGGCTGATCTCAACGCTCCTGGCCTCAAGGATTTTTAGAACTATACAAAACCTCAATATAACTGAAGTTCCTCAGTGATAGCACAAAATCAGCTTATGCAGATTGCTCATTTTAAACACTCTACAAAAATAAATAATGTATCCTTAATGAATTTAATGAAAATGTCAAATGAGACTGATTTTTTTTTTTTTTTGAGTTGGAGTCTCACTCCGTTGCCCAGACTGGAGTGCAGTGGCATGCTCCCAGCCACCGCAGCCTCAACCCACTAGGCTCCGGCGATCCTTCCGCCTCAGCCTTCCAAGTAGTGAGAATTACAGGCATGCGCCACCATGCCTGGCTGATTTTTTTTGATTTATTGTAGAGATGAGGTCTCACCAAGTTGCCTGGGCGAGTCTCGAACCCGCGGGTTCAGGCAATCCACTCACCTCGGCCTCCCAAAGCGCTGGGATTACAGGCTGAGTCACCGAGCCCGGCCTGAGACTGATTTTTAAAGTAATAATTCAAACAGGTATTTTGGCCTTTTAAAATGCAGATTTAAAAATCTAACTAAATACAACTCTACAGAAATCAAGTTATTTTTGTATCTTGGAACTATTAAGAACTCTAATCTAAAAGTTCATTAAAAGTTGGCTCTCTGGATCTGGTTAGATTCTTAGCCCACAACACCAAAGTCAATTTAACCCACAACTCTGTGCAATACATACAACATTATTTTAAGTACAGTATCTAACTAGGGCCCACATTGTTTATGCTCCAGGACATTCCTCTCTCCTCTTGTCTACAAGTTTCTCTGACTCCCAGGGCTAAATTCACTTCCTTTTATTTTAGTCAGATATATTTTCTTTATATTCCTACTTGTATTTCTATTTTAACACTTGACCACATCATATAACAATGTTTTATTTTCACATCTGCTTCTTCCTTCTAGACAGTAAACACTCTAAGAGCAGGCTTTCCATTTATCCTGTAGTCCAGTGATTCTCAAACTTTAGTTGCCATCAGTAAACTAGATGGCTAAGCCCACCCACATCCTCCAGTTTCTGATTCAGTAAGCCTGAAAAGGTGCATTTCTAACAAGTTCTTAGGTGCTGCTGATGGGTGAGGAGTGAGGGAGGAGTATGGGAATACCATAGTTTGAGGTGCAAGGCCCTAAAAGTGTCTACCCTACTGCAGTGAGTTTTGTTTTGCTTTGTTTTTAAGTTACTTGAATTCATTTATATCTAAATTCTGCCCACTTACCCATTCCTGTATACACCTGAAGGCTGGCAAAGCTATGAACTTTTGTAAAAAGTAATAATCAAAGAATAATAAACAAGCACTGGATCCAGTGGCTCACGCCTATAATCCCAGCACTTTGGGAGGCTGAGGCAAGAGTATTGCTTGAGACCAGGAGTTTGAGACCAGCCTGGGCAACACAGCAAAACCTCATCTCTACAAAAAACATTTAGAAAATAGCCTGGCATGGTGGCACGTGCCTATAGTCCCAAGTGGAATGAGGGCTAGGCTGGCTGCAATGAGTCAAAATCGTACCACTGCACTCCAGTCTGGGCAACAGAATGAGACCCTGACTCAAAACAGATATATATCATTATTATTATAAACAAAAAAAATATGGACAAAAGGGCAAGCCAAACCCTTTTCTCTGCAAGAAAATTTGACCTTGGCTTACCTAACTAGCT